TAGGTGGGGTGGGGTGGGGGGTTTTCTTACCCCCCACCCACGGGGCCATTTCGGTCGCGGCCTAATGACGGTTGGATGCGGCTTATGTGCGCACATTTCGGAACTGCACGTTACGAGTACAAACCGCTGTTTTTTGGGACGTGTAGTCCGTACAATGTTAAGATATGTAATCATGCCGTACGCCGCCGTACAGATTTTTGACCGGGACAAGCGCTTTAAGCGGTCCATTTACGTTGGGGCGCCCGTCGCCGCCGTCACGTACCTCAACGACCGGGGGGATATCCTGGCAGCCATGGGGACACGGCTGGTGGTCGTACGAGCAGAAAAGTACGACAGGCTGCCGTCAGCGCCCAAGGTGCGTCCGTGTGTGTGTGACGTAGTTCATTAGGACGGGTTTGCGGGTATGTAGCACATCCGAGTTTGGGGGAGGTCAGGTCTTTCGGACTCCTTTTCGGATCTTTTTTCGTTGGTATACTACAACGTACGGCAAAACCTCACCCGCGTTCAATGTTTTTGCTATGTTCACTATTGATTGCAGGAGTCCATGTACGACGAGTTGCGGGGCCAGGGTCGCGTCCCCCGCGCCCTCCTTCGCGCCATGCAGAGCCGCCTTCAACGACTGAGCCGCTGCAAGGTACCCTTACAGGCGTATGCGGCCTGGGTGGCGGAGGAAGGCGGCGCGGGGCCCGATGGCAGCGGCAGCAGCCCGCCCGCCGCCGGCGGCGCTGGCGCTGGCGGCAATGCCATTTCGCGTCGCCGTACACCGCCGCTGCGGCGGCTGCGATCCTTTAACCTCAATGACAGTCAGCACGGCGGCGGCGGCAGCGCCGGTAGCGGCATGAGCGGCCTTGGCGGCGGCGGGAGGGTTACGAGCTCACGGCCGACGTCGCAGGCTGGTGTTGGAGGTGGCGGTGGTGGCGGCGGCCAGGCGCTGGCGCAGCGGCCGCAGTCGCGGGGCGCAGCAGCGGCGGCGGCGGCGGCGGCGGCTGGCGGCGGCGGCGCAAGCTTGCCGGCGGCCTCTCTTGTGGCTGTTGCGGTGGCCGCTGCTGCCGACTCCCGTCCTAGCAGTGTGCGCAAGGGGGTGCTAAAGACGGCGGATACCGAGGGGTCCCAGGTACGTGTGTGTATATGTGTGAAGTCTGTCTGTCTGTCTGTTTGTTTGTTTCGTTGTGTCTTGTTTGTAGATTTTTTTTTTGTGTG